AATGGCAAATGCAGATTTTTGTTGCTATGTGGTGGATATATTTTATTTTTGGTCTTGGGAGCTGCAATGTTTTCAGCGATAGAAGCACCAAAAATCGACGCCATCTCGAAGCGTGTGCAAAGTATTCGTAATCAGTTTTTGCAAAATAATGCTTGCTTAAATGGTAAGTAAAACAAATGAGGTTGGTTTTTATCTCATCATTAAAATTTTTTTCTGACAACCTTCTTATGATAAATCAATAGAAATAAAATGTTTAAACCTCGTAGTTCAGAAAAAAAGTCTTTGCACATACTTTTAAGGATACTTACAGTTTCCTGGTAAACAAAACGATTAAAGTTCTCATTTTCGTTGTTGGCGTTTCCGACAGGGTAGGAGTATGATGTACTGTAGAACGATTTTCCATCATTCCTTACCAAATTTGGTTTGGATACAAACCGGTTTCGGCGTTGTGCGATCTTCAGTGTAATTTAAAGCCCTACAATACTCATACGCCCCACCATACCATGTATTTTTTGGACTTAGACTTTCTGCACATTGGTCGTCCAATCATAGTTGCTTCATCGTCACAAACATGATGCAACGATTACATGACGAAAGCATGTGCTCGGCTCAAAATTTTAGGGCGAGACGATAACGCAACTATGATTGGACGACAAGTGTGCAGATAGCCTTATTTATTTATAACACGATGCTACATTACTCAACACCAGTCCGTAGCTTTCGAGGCGTTTTCTGAATATATAGGAGTTACATTAGTTTTTGATTCGAAAGAAAGTGAGGTTGTTCACACTTGCCTGGTTATCAGGTTATCAGGTTATGTGGCTATATTTTTTATTCAGTTTACAACAATAAAATACACTACACAATAGTAAATTTCAACCAGATAACCTGATAACCAGGCAAGTGTGAACAACCTCAGTCAGTGCTTTTTCATTTTACATAAATAAAAAACAAATATTATTTTGAATTTTAAGAATGTAATATAAGAATATTCTTTTAAAGTCATTATTGAGTTTTTAAGTTTTATGGTTTTGGATTGGGCTGCCAATGTGCCCCACATGAAAAGATAGTCACAACAGCATATATGTATGCAGATTGGCATTAACACAGGATTGTACTTTTCAATGTCAACACGAAGAAATTATGTAAAAAATGTTAAGTACGGGGTCGTGGAAAGGAAAATTCTTACAAGTAAAATATGTATGTATGTATGTACGAGGGTAGTTTCATAAGATATTGACTTTTTAACTTCAAATACAAGCAAGCTCCGCCATTTAGTTTGTATTTAAAATTTATTAAAAGTAGACAATCTCGTGAATTTCTGCAAAACTGAAAAAAGTGAATTTCCTGCAATCATTATAACTTGGGCTACGAACTTATTGCAGCATTTTGTCGAAATTTAGCCTCTTTCAACAATTTTCTAATTCCAAACTCGTAGAAATGAGTCGGCAGTAAGAGATTTGGGTCCAATAAAGAGCTAATCATTCAAAAAAAATTGTGTTTTTAAGGAAACTTATTATTTGCAAGAAATTGAACAATTGGAGACCAGTGGAACACAGTGTTTCGACCATGGTAAAAAAAAGAAGGTAGTTTCACTCAATTATTTTTTTTTCCAGCCATATTAACTGTTGCTTTATAATTGTGCTATCAAGGCGAATTTATATAAGGTGGTGTTGTTTTATCAGCTGTGAGTGGCTTTTGATTGTCAAAATTTTGTATTTCGCTAGTGAGTGAGTGAAAACGTGAGAGTGTTTGTATTTTCTGTCGCTCATTTTCATTCGGCGAAGAATAGCTGAAATTTGACAATGGCTCGCTAAAAGCAAAAACAAAATACAAATAATTTATTTCTTGAATCGATACCACCTTATATGTAATCGCCTTGTGCGCTCCAATTAAATTTATTTAAAAAACCTTAAATATGAAAAATATATATAATAAATCAAATAAAAACTTATTTAAATCAAATGAAAACGAGTTCAAAATTAGTGTATAATAGAAATATTCACTTCAAATATGCCCATCTTAAAATGAAGTATTTTGCACTTCACGGATGCTTTTTCGTAATACATACGAAGAAAATCAAAACAGGTGCTATTCAGCAAGATTGCGTTCGTTTGTTAGTAGTTAGTAGTTAGTATCAATGAACAATGACTTAAAGAACAGGTCAGAAAAATTTAGAAGCAAAAAAAAGTCAGCACTTTTATGCCGAAAACTTGAACAGCACCTTTAAAAGAAAAACTTCTCATCTGCTTCCGAATAGCAGAGCTATTGGAATGTCTTCTAATACAGCTTCCAAAGGTAAAGTCTTACCTAACTGCCCGTCTCCACAGGATAAAGTTTAAATCTTGATACATATGTTAGAATATAAATAGCCAATGGAGACCGCTCATTACCCCTCAAGAGTAATATATATCAGAGTTTATATCTTGCCATCTATTGCCGGCAATTTGGTAGTTTGACAGCTACATTTTCATTTCCAGGAAAACTTCGTGGCGGCAACACTATTGATATTTTAATATAAACGCAAAAATTGAGCTGTTGAAATATTTGTTATTATGTACTTGTATATCGATGGCTGAGTGGAAGATCGACCTATCTCGGCAGCCAGTTCGAAAACGCTCTATCTCAAAAAACTTTTCAAGAACGCCCTATTTCAGAATTTAATTGAAAAACACCCTATCTCAAAATTCGGTTCAAAAACACCCTATCTCACTTCAAAATGTATTGAAATTATGATGATATAGGGCGTTTTTGAATCGGCAGCTGAGATAGGGCGTTTTTGAAACGAATTCTGAAATAGGGTGTTCTTGAAAAGATTTTTGAGATAGAATGTTTTCTAACTGGCTGCCGAGATAGGTCGATCTTCCACTCAGCCATCGATGTAAAATATCATATGTTTTTAATTTTGTAAGTGCTTAAATCCGGCAAAAATACGTTTTAGAAGCTATCTTACAATAAATTGTTTCCTGTGGAGACGGCCAGTAAGAGCTCCTCATTTTGCCGGCTCGTCTTATGTTGCTATGTTATGTTTCCTATGTTTTGCTGTAAGATTTTACCGTTGCAATTCAAACACTTAGGGAGTTCACAAGTCGTGCTATTTGTCATATTTGCTCTTTTGTACTATTTTTTTTAGAACAGTTGTAAAATGAAACTTGTGAGCATCCCATACTTTTTCGTGTGCTATTGTACAATATTTTAACAATTATATTTGACAAAATCAAAATTATTAAAACAGCTTTAGAAAGTTTCTAATGCCCAGAAGAAGCGAGAAAAGCAAATTAATGGCTGCGATTTGCGAGAAGTACGCGCAGGACGCAATGATGGAAGGAAGTGAGTCGTCAAATAAGTCATTTATGAGTTTTTTAAATTTATTTGGTGCATTTTTGTTAGGCGATGAAGATGAGGAGGAAGAGATCGATGAAACTTTTAGGTTGAATATGCTTGTGTTGTTGGCAAATCGCCGAAGTGTCCATCTAGGAGTTCCGAAATCAAACAATTGGGATCTGAATGTGTTACAACCTCAAATAGGCGGTTTTCTAAAAGAAAATCAATTAGGGACTTCTCTTCCGACACTGTCCACATATGGTTTGGTTTTCCCCGGACACGCTTAGTTTTGCACTGAATTAAAAAAGATCTTTAATGAGTTAAATATGTTATAAATAAAGATAACTTACTCCATTGCCATGAGATGACTCCATTTTTTTATTTAAAATTTGAATATTTTATTGTACTCAGACAAGGAAAAATGTAAATAAATAGAAATGTCTGATCCAATAGCACTCACAAATAGCAAAGTAAACATATTTTTCAAAGTTGTATTGTAATACAACAATTTTACTTGTAAAGCAAAAACAACACTTTTAAAACTGTTCTAAAAAAATAGTATAAAAGAGCAAATATGACAAATAGCACGACTTGTGAACTCCCTAACTCTTTCATCTTGGCTGCTAGAATTTCGAAAAATAAGTCTCATTATTCAAACATTTCCAACTAGAAGAATTTTTTTTAAGTTTCTACGAAATCAATTTTTTTTCTCAGATCATTAAAAATATGAAAAGGTAGCATTAAAAAGCCAGAAAAAAACACGAAGCCTAAACTTGCGAGGCTAGAGCAAAAATATAATTGCTAAATCTAGCCTCAAAAGGGCTAACCTGGTTACACTGGTGCGCACACGTGATGTTTAAAAAATCTGTGCTCCCGGTAGTTTATTGTGTAATGGGGAGAGCGCAATTTCGTTATTGCAACAATCCCAGTTTTTCAGTTAAAGGTCAGATGCAAAAGTAGTTTATGAAAAGAGCACTAGGGTAAACTAGAAACAGTTTTTTATATTTAAGCACACTTACAAGCAAGAAAGTTTAAATTACTCATCTGGCTATCTCAAAGATTCATATCTTATGATCACACAACCAAACGGCTGAAAAGATAGACAGCACAGTGCACAATGTGGGGTTTAGAATACGCCTAAATCTTAATATATATTAGCATGTACATACATGCATTTACATACATACATACATAAATACATACATACATGTATGCACATATATATGTATGAATATTGTCTAGAAAAAAATTTAGCTTTATAGTAAACAGTTGATACTAACAATTGAAGCATTTTCTTTCGCTACTCAAGTAGTTATGTAAACATAGATATGTATGTATGTATAGTACATACTTATATATATAAACAAAAGCGAAAAAGTGCAACGCGCAGCAAAATTTCAAGCACAAGCACAATTAAAGTGATCAGCGCACATTTTAAATCTCTGATTCCAGAATTCAGTTGATGAGCGAGCTACCGACGAGTGAGATTAATAAACCGCAAGTTAGACTTTCATTTAAAAATTAAATTCAGAAATGTAGTAGCAAATGAACAGCATCTAAATAAAGAATTGCCTTTGCTTTCACTATTAGTGGAACTCTAAAAAATTTTCCTAAAAAAAGTGTACGTGCGTGTGAAAAAAGTAAATCCACGTTGGCGTCAAATTTCGCGTTGTGATTATGCATAACATCAATCTAAATCGTGCCCTGTAATCATTTATGTTGTCATAGAGTACACAAGCATTTAACCATCTACACATTTACTTACACCAAATGCACACTTCAACCCTTTTGCGAGAATATTTAGTTAGTCAGAAAAAAAAGGTTAATAACGTGTCAAGACACTTAAGCACTGTTCATATTGGCATGTCACGTGCCGCTACTCCTCACTATTCATTACTACCACAAGTGTCAATGTAATGATGCCTTCGAAAGCTTTTCGTTTTCGACGCAATGGCTACGAGGATCTGGATAAGTGCAATCAATCATCAGAGGAAAGTCTACCCCGCTTAGCGTGCGTTGAGAGTCGAACACAAGCGGCAGCCGTTCCAGCATTTGGTCAACGAAATCAACCAAAGCATCGCATTTTCTCAATTTCCGACACGGCATTAAATCTTACGCCAACGGTGACATCTAACACCAAACACCATCCAGCACCTGCAAGCAGCCTGACCCAACACCAATCGTCGTCGCCGTCGTCGTCGTCGTCGCCGTCGCCACGTTGCGCCCTCCGCAATCAATCAACGCAGAGTCTCAATAATGGTATTAGCCTTGGTTCAATTGTGCTGGTGCGTTCACATGGCACTTGCACCGCACAAGACTGTGGCGGAGGCGCTGGGCAAAGTTGCTCCAGCTTCAACCTTGGATACCATCATGTCACCAAGAAGCAAAGTAGCGTTGCCGCCGCCAAAAAGTGGGAATGTGGGCGCAAGCAAAATATTCGTTTACTTTGCTTTACATTATTTTATTGCGTTTACTTAGCAATTGGCAGTGTTTGCTTTCAAATTGTGGAAACACCGGTCGAAGGGGAATTGCGTACTGCTGTGCGTTTGCTGCGCGCCAACTTCCTGCAAAAGTATCCTCAAATATCGGGTAAAGTTTTATTATATAAAAGTATTTGTCTTTGTGTCAATCTTCCAATTTTGGAGCGGCCCACTACTAAACACTCACACACATGCATATTTTAGGAGATGCAATTAGTCCATGCAAAAAATTGTGCGACTAATCTCTAAAGAGAGTATTCCGAGATTACTCTCAATCGGGTACAATTGGGCATTAATTAGTCGCAACTAGTCTCGTACGGGTACTAATGGAGATCAATTAGTCTCGACTCATCCCTTATGGGTATAATTGGAGATCAATTAGTCCCCAACTCATCTCTAAAGGGTAATATTAACGATTTAATGATATGTACGCACTTAGTAAATGAAATTTCATGTGCGGCGTTGGCACGCAGAGAGAGTATTCGCCTAACAAAACTGAGCGCCCCGGTTCGAATCTCTCTCTCTAAGGTGAACAATTAGTCTCTTCATAGGACATTCTCGAACAAAAGCGAACAGTTCATTCCATATAAAGAGATCAAAAGTGGCATTAGTCGCATGCTCCTTTGCGATTGCTCCCGGAGTCATCCCGGATTGGTCCCATTTTTTGCAGGGTAGTACATGAACATTCTTAAATTCATGCATACATATGTTCTGCGCACATACGCAAATGTTTAGGGAACATATTTTCGTCTGCACATTAGGGTGTATCACCAAAAAAAATTGCGGTTTTTTTCACCGGAATTATACAAACATATTAAGTCAAAAATCTTATTATTTTCATGGCGTTGCTACAATTTTTGCAGTCCTTCTCTCTTCTATCATTTGAGGTGACGTTTTCTGGGAAAATAGTCGTATTTTTGAAAACTAATTTTATTTGTAAAATACTCGCTTGTTAGGGGGGTATTTTAAAAGGGCCCACCTTACGTAAATCTTAATATTTTTTCGAAATATTTTGGCGAAATAAGTTTTACAATGCCGATGGAAAAACAGTGCCGATTTTTTTTTCGTATGGGGAAGGATGCACTCTAATGTACATACATATGCATATTTGTAAATATTTGTTTAGCATGAAGTCAAGCAAATTTGCTGTGTTATCCCAATTTGTAATTTAACACTTATGTACATGTGTAAAAAAAAACAAGTAAGAAAGTCTAAGTTCGGGCGGAGCCGAACATTAAATACCCGGCGCAAGTATTAAATATATGTTTTTCACCTTTCGAAAAGCTACCGCTACATGGTAAACCGGGGTGAGTAAATTAACGTCCTTAAATTTCGAAATATTGAATTTTCAAGCATTTCTGAAATTTACTGTTATATGAAAAGCGGCTGTAATTTTAGTTCAATTTCAATGATTTTCAACGTTTTGCTTCTATGTGGCAAGCACAATAAAATTACCGAGTTTGGTACAAACGGTTACCGAGATACATAATTGTGATCATAAGTAGGCGGTGCCACGCCCATTTTTCAAAATTTTATCCTAAACGTATTTCTTGGTAAAGAATTGTTGCTAGCATCAATTTTGAATAAATTAGCTTCAATAATTACTGATTTATCGAAGATTTCGCATTTCTCTAAATTACCGTTATATGGGATGTGGGCGTGGTTTTTGTCCGATTNATTTTAAAAATTTTCGGCCATTTCGTATGTTACACCAAGGTTAACAACTGTGCCCAGTTTGGAAAACATCGGCGCAGCGATTACCAAGATATACACATGTAACCATAAGTGGGCGTGGCTACGCCTAGTTTCCAAAAATTTATAATATTCTTATTTTTCGTCTAAAACTTATTGTAAATATCAATTTTGAGTGAATAATCTTCAGCAGTTACTAAAATATCGCAGTTTTTGTATTTCTGAAAATTACCGTTATATGGGAGGTAGGCGTGGTTATTGTCCGATTTTGCCCATTTTCAATACCGTCCGTCCTACGCCCGAAAGAAGTGCACATACCAAGTTTCGTTAAGATATCTCAATTTTTACTCGAGTTATCGTGTGCACAGACGGACGGACGGACGGACGGACAGACAGTCACCGCTTAATCGATTTCTCTTTTCATTCTGATCATTTATGTATATATTTTTCTATATCTATCTCGATTCGTTTTGCCTGTTACAAACAACCGTTATGTGAACAAAGTTATAATACCCTTGTGCACAAGTGCGCTCGGGTATAAAAACAAGATTTCTGAACAATTATGTACCGTATTTCCTCTATTATGAAGTCGTTAAAGCCGGTCATGATTTTTTTTTGTTTTGTGTGGCAGTGCGCAACTTTAACCACTGTACTATGATGGTCGTTGATGATGGTTGTTTAGAGGACCAATTTTTTAAGAAAGAGCCGTTTTGCGTACAAGGGAAATTCGTTACAGAGGAGTTCGCCAATGTATAAAAAAAAAAATAACAAAAAAGCAATGCAAAGTGAGGCCTTTTACTAATCTCCGCAAGTCCTTCCGCTAAATTTCGTATCTAGATAAATTAGTCGGTCAAATCAGCGTTGCCAGGATGACGTTTTCCATTGTTTATTTAGCTTAAGCCACTTTCTGGCTTAAGTAGCAAACGAGTGTTTCCGGTTCTTTCATTATTGGTTCTACAAGTGATGAGTTTACCAATTAAATCCGCAAGCGATTTTTTATAATACGTACAATCTGTCAAAAAAGTACAGGGATATGAATGGCCCGTGCAAAGGCTAGGTCTATATTTTTCAGAAATGAGCATACCTAAATACTTTCATATTTAAAGTACCAGTTTATGTAATAAATACTCAAATACTTAGTATTTAGAGATGTCTAAACATTCAAGCAAAAAAATTAGGTATTTAGGAGTTGCTAAATACTCAAGATAAAAATGCTTAGTTATTTAGAAGTTTGCTAAATACTTAGCTAAAAATACTTAGGTATTTAGGAGCTTTTAGATAGGCGCGAAATAATCTGGTACCTTCAAACCAAATACTTTATGATTTAGGAGACATTTAAAAACTTAACACCTTACCTTACACTCACCTCAACTTAGCTTACCACAACTCACTTCACATCACCTCAAATCAACTCATCACACAGAAACTCACCACACCTCACTTAAACGTACCACACCTTATCCTACCATACCTAAATTCACCAAACCTTAACTTACCACAACTGAACACATCACACCCGTTCTCACCTAAACTCATCACACCCAATTTGGGAACTATTTCTGGATTTTAGAGATTCTCGGTACTAAATCATGATTTTCAAGACTATTTTGCGATTCTCGAGAATATTTTGTATTTCTCGGAACTATGTCGGGATTTTCGAGACTACTTCTATATTCCAGGAACTATTTCCTGATTTTCGGACCTATTTCGGAATTTTCCTTGTATTTATCGATTTTGATATCGATAAATTTATAGATTATTCAATCAATATATTTATCCATATTTTTATAGATATTTGTATTCATATTTGCATCGATTTTTTATTTCGAAGGATGCAAACACAGTATATTTTGCTTAGCTGTCCATCCATCTTTGCACGAAAAACTTGTGCGCTTAACCGAAAAAAGTACTTTTCGAATTTCTTTACTATTTCAATGAGGAAGTTATCCGAATCGCTATGAAATCAAATAATAAAGGAGCACTTACCGCGTAGAAATTACTGCAAGCGAATTTTTTTCCGAATGGTATCTAATTATCTATGTATATAACTACATAAAATTATAGCCGTTTTCGTTGTTCTGCCGGATGAGCAAAATAAATAAAAGCTTGTAAAATTAGATAATTGTAGAGCCAGTGCATGGGCCAATGGGGTCACAGTTGGCGTTTGTTGATAATTAAAGGGCACGCATTATATTTAATCTACACGTTATCGCTAAAAGTGGGCCACATTTCCTTCCGTCCGCGAGCCCCACACGTGTTAATCCGGTCCTGTGCATATAAATTTAATTAATCTCATTAATTATTTGTATGGTTTGTTTTTAAATTATACGTAATTTCTTTTATTTCTTCCATCCATGTATGTATATAGACGAAGATCTCGAAGAGTTTCTCAAAGCTGTGATTACGGCTAACGATCGCGGCATATCACCGTTGCGCAATGCCACAAATGAAATGAACTGGAGCTTTGGTCAAGCATTCTTCTTCTCCAGCACGGTGATAACAACAATCGGTGAGTGCCATTCAACCTAGAAACATACTTTTACATATCAACATACCTACATACATACATTCATGCATATGTATGTATTTTTATGTATTTGCAAAATTGTGGTCAGCCACGCTTGTGCAGATTACATTATCATTGTTGATGTCCACGTTTATTGCATTTTGTTAATCACCCCGCACAACGGCATGTAAACACACATACATACAGACATCCACACATAGGCATACACATTTATGTATACATACATATTTACTTATGTTTGTACGTAAGAATATTAAAACTTCTGCCTTCTGATTTTTGCATATGAAATATTTTCACCTCTACACAGGATATGGCCATGTAACGCCACTTAGCCAAACAGGGAAAATATTTTGCATAATTTATGCAGCCATCGGCATTCCACTCACGTTGGTGCTATTGAGTGCTATGGTGGAGCGTCTATTAGTACCGGCCAGTTGGTTGTTGGGCATTCTGAATTCCAAATTGGGTCATCTCTATCAGCCCTTCAATATACGGCTGCTGCATCTAAGTGTTGTGGGTAAGTGTGCGAGCGGGGATGATGCCATATTTTAAATAAGTAATAGCTTTGTAACTTCTATGAATGTATGTATTTACATCCTCTTTGTATCCGCTATTATTTCAGCCATCATTGTGATTATCCTATTCTTCGCCATACCAACGGCTATCTTCGCTTACATCGAACCAGCCTGGGGTGCTTTGGACTCATTCTACTATTGTTTCATTTCGCTAACAACTATTGGTTTGGGCGATTATATACCCGGTGAGGGTGTTACTATTGGCAATCGTTCGATGTATAAAATATTCATAAGCATTTACTTAATTTGCGGTGAGTTAGAAATTGGGAACTTGAGTAACAAGGCTTTATTTATATACACATAACTACTTATCTACTCACTTACATAGGTCTCATTGCAATGATGTTTGTGCTGACAATCTTCTATGATATACCGCAATTAAATCTTGGTCAACTCTTCACCGAGAGCACAAATGGCGAAACGGAAAAATTACGTTTGTCCAGCAATAATACAACTTGCTACTCCGGACCCTCTGGACTATACATGCCACAACGTGATGAGGATACTAGACGCGCGGTGGTACGTATACGACCACATGGTGACGATTCGCCCAGTCCCGATGATGCGCCATCCTCGCTAAATAGCGATATGAGAGTACCATAGATTGCAAAGCAATAAGACGTACATACATATGTACATACATAAGTATGCGGAGATATAAATGAAGCTGGTTTTAAAAAAGCGCCAACTATGTAAAGGAAACATTGTCACATGTGGCGTTGTCAGACCCACTCACTATATATCCTAGAAACATTGAAGGAAACATTACAAAACTACTTAAATAAATCCATAATCATATCTTAAGGAAATCACACATACATACATAGTATGTAGCAGTTAATCTTAAAGTATGTATCTAAATCTTGAGATAGATCACACATTTGTTTATATGAATTTCACCTCTAACAACAAGAGCAACAACAAAGACAAATCTTTCAAATGTACAAAACGAACAGAATACAATACAAAGAAGACCTATTTAAACTTCATACATACATAGCACATACATATATATGTACTAAAATAATTACTATCTACAATACTAAGAAAAATGATCTTTGCGACTATCATAGCATCAAGTAAACTGTTAAAAAAAAATTAATTTGTAAACTATTGTTGAATTAGTTAATGCTAACCTGCGAGTGATTGTATCTTTAAAAAATATAGGAACATTATCAACATAGTTAAAGTATAGCAGCAGCAAATATGGGCTCTAGACAAATATGTATGTATTCGCCTCTTTTTGTATACATACTCAAATATGGAAAAGAAAGAAAACTATGCAGATGTATTTATCAATAAGTTCTAAATTTTTTTTCCTTTTAAGGATATGTTTTCATAAACAATCATCTCTTTACAGTAAGGGTTATGTACTCTATTCTCAGCCGTAAAATTTCGGTGGTAGCGACGAAATTCTTTTCTATTAGACAATTTAAGCAACAATACTTTTTAATTTGTTTGTATTTTTAATTGCAAAAGCTAAGATACACATCAGCTAAAATTTATTTAAGAGTGAAGAAGGCAAAGACAATTTTAGTTATTATATATCTAACTAGTATTCAAAGGAAGACACAATCAACCATAAAAGCTGAAATTTAGATACATATTTATGAATGTGCGTCCACAAATACAAGTATGTATTGTATGTATACACATGTGCCCATCATGTTTGAGGTTATGTTTAATGTAGAATACGTTAAATATAATATATGTTCATTTATCATAAAAAATCAAGCACCATTTTAGGTTATTATCTTTTTTAATAACTAATGACTTATTTTTTAGATTTGTCCAGCGTTTCTCAAACTGTGGGTTTTGAGGAATTTGAGAGTCGTGTTGCCCAGTAGCTATGGACAAAACTATAAAAAAAAAAAAACTTAAAGGAGGTTATAAGCTTTATCGCAAAAACGTTGTTTCATAACAGTTATTAGATGACAAAATTATTTTTTATTACGTCGATAAGGCTTATAACCCAACGCTTATTTCTTACGTTGCCCGATAACTGTTATGGATACAAGTTATTTTCCAACGTTTATTTTTTACGTTACTAATTAGATAACAGTTATTTTCCGGTTTATTTGGGAATGGGGAATAAGATAAAGATGATGGAAATAAAAGTGAGAATGTAAAATAACTCTTATCAGACAACGTAAAAATAAACATCGGACAATAACTGTTATCAAGCAACGTAGAAAATAAACATTGGGCAACAACTGTTATCAAGCAACGTAAAAAAATAAATGTTGGGTTATAACTCTTATCTTCGAAACAAATAAAAGAAACTCATATACATATGAATATGCTCAGACCAGGTATCGAACCTTGGTACTACCAAATGGAGGTGCGCAGCTCGGCGGCCGCTGTCATGACTTAAATGCATTGAAATATTCCAAATATATTTTCACATAAATTCATGTTTTATGAAACAAATGACCAGATGCTTTACCGTCGTCCGCTGCAATTATGGGTAGAGCTTTACCGAGTTTGGTATGTACTCTGAGAAGTCAAAAAAAAAAATACAAAATTCGTCAGTGTGGGTTAATTCTTCTGACAGAGTGAGAAGATGATGTATGTATTTGTTTTAATTTTAGCCCTTTACAAAATTTTTGAGTGCTCAAAATTTATGAGTCTAAAATGAGTCTTCCTTTTGTTAGAAATATGATTTTGAAAGCAGTCAGCCAGACTGGCTCATTTCGGACTCTTTTGGTGTCATAAATTCTGAATTGAACAATAGATATTACCTTTTCCCACTGGGAGATCACTCATTCATCTGTAGTATGTATATATTTATGTGTGTTTGCATTATGTAGTGGTGGAACGTAATGCCAGCAAATACTGGGCAATGCTTTATTCGAGACATATTTAAGGAATATTCAATGACAACAACAACAATAAACACAATAACATCAAACATAATAAATATTCTTATGTGGATTACTTTACAAAACAAAATACAACAAAACAAAACAAGAAATAAATAACGCAATGATTAAAGAAAACATAAAAGTTTAAAGATCATACAAAAAGAGTAATGAAAATATATGTATGTATGTAAAATGTATGCGAAATGGAGATTTTTGACAGATCTCTAATGGAACAGTTAATTTTCATTTTAGCTAAATTAATTTTCATTATTGTTTAGGTCTATAGTATTAGGTAGGTGTGATTGACAGTGGTAAGCAGCGATATACGTACATACGTACATATATATTTGGGGCTAAAGCGAACGGCCCTATAGTATTAATTGATATTTGCTGAACATTACGTTTATGTATGTACATATTATACAATCCATTTATAGTTGCTTGTACTCATGTCTAAACGCTATTCCGGTTCCTGGTTATTTGGTAACCTGGTTAAAAATTAGATTGGATCAGAAGTATTTGGTTTTTTTTTTGTTCACCGGATGTCACTAAATCTAACCGTATATAGAATTGCTCGGTGATTCCGAAAATTAAGTTAACTATGGACCAGTTTTCGGGACATTTGCAGTTTACGTATATTTTACGATTTACAAATTTAACAATTTGAATATAAAATACGGCAAATGGAAACTAATAAAATTCTCCATAACCCGTTTATGCATCATTTTTCGATAGGCCAATAGTTTCTGAGAAATTATTTAATCATTCCAGATTTTTTGTTTTTTTGATGGGAAAATTAAAAAAATTAAAATTTTAGCAGGTGAAAGAAAATAACGATTTTTTTGTCCATTTTTTATGTTGTATGAAAGCCTGTTCCTTTACGAAAAAATGAAGCTACCAAAGAAGAAATGAATAAATAAGAAAGCAATGAGTGGTCAAATGAAAATGCGCAAGGATCAGAAAAGTGTGTTACTCAGGTCAGAGAACGTTTATAACTCTCAGGTGATCATGGCGTATGAGTAACATTCTTTATTGCTAATTTTCCATGCAAAAAATCTTTATTTAAACATCGATTTTCTTCATTAGTAGCTTGCTTTTTTTCTAACTCGAATGCAAAAAATTTACACGGAATCTGTTATTTTTTTTTTTTTCCTTGTTAAAGTTTGATTTTTTTTTAATTTTTTGAGCAAAAATACAAAAAATCTGGAACTATTAATTTATCTCTCACAAATCTTCAGGCTTATCGGAAAGTAATTTATATACGGTTTATGCAGATTTTTGTTAGCTTTCATTTGCTATGTTTTCATTTCATTGGCTCGTAAGATATATGTACATACGGACTAAGTGGAATCACTGTTTTACGCTGAATTACGGTAAATTTGAAATATCACGAAAACTTATCCATAGAAAAAAATTAACTCGATTTTCGGAATCACCGAGGAATTCTACATACTAATTGCATAGTAAACATTTTTGCTGTGAGCCAGTTTTATTATTCACTGGTCTATGTATATTTTATTGCTGTAAACTGAATAAAAAATATAAGCACAAAACCAGAGCATCCTGTAACCAGGCAGTTGCGAACACACACACACACACACATTATATAGATAATTTGGTTTGTATGTATAAGTTTTTCAAAAGAATAATATTGACATATTAACAAGTCGTAAGCAAGTAAACACATTTTCTATTAATTGTACTTCACTTTATTATTATTATTATGAATATAATAATGTACTAAAGTTTGCTTTAATATGAATAAAATACACTATAAAATGGACTAATTTTTATTTAACACCAAAGCTAAGCACGCCATGTATGATTACTAAAATGTATACACATAAATAATAAGGAAGGAAAGTAGAAACTTGACGGGACTTCATTTGTTAGTTTTTAGATTATACATACACACCTTTATATAAATTTTAATTATGTCAAACTCGATTCTTATGGAAGTAGTAACGTTAAAATTTTGTAAATGCACACAAAGTTTTACCATAAAAGCTGCAAAGACACACGAACATAACTGAAGTAAACATATTAAACGGTTGCGAGTGCATACCATGTCAATAGAATGTTACCATAATAATAAATAAATTAATCATGTGTAGTGTGTAAAAATATATACCAATTTGTATTATTTTTATATAGTTTGGCCATGCCTAGGATTTTCGAGGTAAGTGTTAGACCCACCATTACTCGACGTATACATATATACCCAGTGGGAAAATAGAAAGAAAAGATTAATAATAACTACGGTTCAAAGAAAAGATGCATCGCAATGTAAGCGAGCGGATGATGTATAGCTTTGAAGCGACAAACAAAACAAAAAGTTTGAAAACTAACTCAAGCAGGTTCTTTGTTCGCGTTTTCTCAACAGCTGCTGTAACCGAATGAATGCGTGTTCGACTGCCGTGTTGTTGGTCACAGGTTCAAAACATGTGGCACGGTCTTTATTTTTATTTTTATTTTTTTTGTTAGATTATATGTATTTATAGTTTCGTAAAGCGTCATGCGACACGTTACTATCGTTCCCACGACAGTCGGGTCTACGTAACCCGAACGACCCAGATTTATATCTGGCCAAGGACTGTCACTCCAGCAACACTCCCCAAAAAGTCTTTGGGGAATTTGTATGCTGCTACAACAACAACAACGTTACTATCGTATGACATCGCTGTGGAGAAATTCTTGTATCTTTGCGTGCGTAGGTTATAGCCCCTTACTACATCACTTTTTGCATTCCTATAGATTACCTTTTCCTACTGGGTATGTATGTATGTTTATATATGCATATATACAGGGTGTCCCAGAAGTAACGTGCCAAACTTTAGGGC